TATCTGTCTCTGTGTCTCTCTAGCTCTTCCACCTGCGAATCCCTTCCTCCCTCTTTCGAATTTCCCTCTCGTCATCTCCCTCCCATCTTCATGCTCTCCCACCTTCACTTTGGTCTTTTATTTGTTATCTTTATATCATTTATTATCTTGTCTTATTTCGTTCAACCTTTGTTATTACTCTTAGTCTCCTTCTTTTTTTCTTCTTCTTTTTCTTCTCGTGGGTATTCCTCTTATTGGAGGCCTTTTTCTTTTCCCCCTTTTTTTTCTCAGTTTAAAACATAATTATTTATAAATGAAACATCTGATTTTGTTGATATAAGTATTAGCTCGCCCTTGATTCGAACTTCATCGTTGTTATATTGTTTTTTTTAAAATTATTTATTTGAATAATTTAGTGACGTCGTCAACTATGGAGGCCATATTCGATCTACTCTGTTTTCGCTTGTATTGTTGTTGGCCTCGAATGGCGAAAATTGTTTTTGAATAATTGATACACATCACTATGCGTAAATTATTATTTCGTCCTTGTTTTCACGAAGTGACGGTAGTGAGGAAAATCGTAACGCAAAGTGAATGCAATTTTTTTTCACTACCGTCACTTCGTGAAAACAGCGACGATTTGCTTGCGCTTTCTCATCAATGCAATTATCATTTTATGATCACCCACTTATCCTAATCATAGTAGAAAAAATTCGCTTTTCAACAATAATAGCGGTGTTCGTATCACGGCTCATCAAATAAATAATGATTCATTGCACTTCTGGTTTCCATGGTAATCATTCTGCTCATCTCATTTCTATTCGTTACCAATGTTAAGAAATAATGGTTTTATTTTGGGGGGTATTTCATATCTTTCTTTTTTTTTCTTTCGGGGGAGGGGGGGGGGACGGCCGCAAGTAATACAAAATGAATCATATTATTTGTGTACGATTCAGTGGAAATGATTATACAATATTTAGATTTTCACTGTTTGCCTAAATGAATTATGTAACAGAATGAATCCCCCGGACATAATGTCGATAATCAAAGAGCATGAACCAAACTTGCTCTATCACTACTTTGTATTTATTTAGTGTGTATTTTCTGTGTCTATATTTTGAATGTTTCTTCACAGAAAGACATTGAAAGTTTATTCACTATTTGATAAAGCTATTAATCCATGAACATACAGAACAAACTACTGTTTGGAAATTGTTCCTCTTTCCCAACCTTCTTCCAACCGCATTTAGCATTATTTGGTTCGAAAACATATAATGCACAATCATAACAATGGATTCTCTCTTTTTAGGTGTAACACATGCTGTAAAAACAGCTTAATTTTAATAATTTCACAGCAACCAACTTCTCTCTTTTTAGGTGTAACACATGCTGTAAAAACAGCTTAATTTTAATAATTTCACAGCAACCAACAGAAAAGCAGGAATAAGAGTAAAGAAAAACGTTTTGCATCGAAAGTCATATTTCTAAATGAAATGTAGTCTTGACCGATGCTGAGCATGTAGAGGCCTATATTATCCATACGAAAGCACTAAATGAATCCCACTCAAACATTTAAATAAACTGATGAAGGTATATTTATGTTCACACCGTAAACTGTATCAGAAGATTAGATCTTCGTCATCGTCAGTAACACCTATGAACAACACATTTGAATAAAATAAGTTATTAATATAATTATACTGAAATATTATGTACAAGTAGCGTATATGATTAACAAACAATTGATAGTGATTTTTTAAACAGGGTGTCTCTAATCGGTTTACTTACTTAGGTAAATAATTCGATAGCTTCTGCTGTTCATGCATTCTCAAAATTTACGAGACTGCATTCAAATTCCGTACATATTGACATTGGGCTATTATAATGTTTCATGCTTTTGTGTGGCCAAGATATGAAACTCTTATTTATGAGTATGGACAGGATTTCAAGTATTTGAGCAAACATGATAATAGCCTATCACTTCAAGGAGTTTATATCATGCATACAGACTTGTTACTAACAATGTCTGAAAATTTAGGTTCGTATCTCGTGGTTTACATGGTTCCATTAATTTCATATTGGAAATCTAAACAGAATATAAGAGGAGCATATCAATTAAAAGTAAAACCTCAACAAGACATAACATGAACAAGATAAGAACGTATCATTTTCATCGTTCCTCTAAAACAACCCCGATAACTTCAGCATTATCCTATATTCTAGAAAATATATGCTGCAATACGTAGAAATGTGACTTTCAAGCATTCTTCCTTTAAGATGAGTTCACATCGGCATAAGTTTATCTACAGCGGGGCAGCTAGTGCCGGTATATACACAGTGCTGGAGAGCGAGAGATTGTAAAAGTCCGAAATTAAATATCCTACCAGCAATATTTACAACGCAATTTTTCTTAAATTTGTAGGCACACTTTGTGTAGTTGATCGAACCCCCCCCCCACTTTTATGACATCGAAAAACCTCGGCGTTTAAAAAAAATGACATATCTTATTGATTGATTGATTTTATTCGCCAAGCCTCAACATACAACAATATGTAAGAATAATAGATAAAAATTAAGTCAGCTTGAACAAACCCACGAAAGCTTATTTCCAGTGGGGTCCCCGACATATACACAATTAATAAGTTAAAATCTTATTATTTACAGACAGATAAGAAAAAAACTTATCAAAGATAATAATAACACAGAACTCAGTGAATAAGCGCGGGTTGCCATTTATTCCACACCCCCCCCCCCAAAAAAAAAAAAGATTATCTTCACCTGTCACATGATATATATATATATATATTCATTATCTTCAAGACTTTTCTCAAAGATTGAATATTTGAATTAAACTAATCGATTACAATATCTGCCCTGAACTCGCCGGCAAAATGAATAGCACTCACGCTCTTTCCAATCAAAATCAAAAGTCTCTCTTTTTAAATCCGACAAATCCTAGCGAAATCATTTATAATATTACCCAATCTCTTAACAACTCAAAATCTCACGGTTTTGACAAAATAAGTATGTCTCTCCTAAAAGAAATTATATATCCACTTGCAAAGCCTTTAACTCACATATTTAATCACTCGTTATCGCAAGGTGTTTTCCATGATCTATTAAAAATAGCTAAGGTCAATCCCATTCTCAAAAAAGATGATCCCCACGAAATTAGTAACTATCGTCGATTTTCCCTACTTCCAAGTTTATCCAAAGTCTAAAGTATATTTCAAATCAATATGACTTTAGGAAAATTTACTCACCTGATTTAGCATTAATTCAAATTTATGACAAAATTACAAGTGCCATAGCTAACAAAGAGCATTTTATAGGTATATTATGTGACTTGAGTAAAGCATTCGATACGCCCAATCACGTTACTCTACTCTCCAAACTCAGTCATTGTGGAATTCGGGGTCAGTCACTCTTATGGTTTCAAGATTATTTAACAAACAGAAGACAATATGTTACATTTAATAGTTATGATTCTGATCCTCTTTTAATTCAATGTGGTGTTCCTCAAGGCTCCATCTTAGGTCCACTGTTATTTCTTCTTTATGTAAATGATAGTATCAATACTTCCCCCTTCTTTCTTTTATCTTATTTGCCGGCGACACAAATATCTTTTATTCTCATAAAGACCTTAATTCTTTAAACAATACTTTTAATTATGAAATTAACAAAGTATCAAACTAGTTTAAGTCCAATAAACTTTTTCTTAATACAAAAAAAAAGACTCATTTCATGTATTTTAAACATCATTCTCATAATACAAAAACACCGATATATATTAAAATCGATGATATGCTACTAGAGAAGAAGACCAAGTCCAAGTTTTTGGGAGTTCTTATAGATGAAACCTTGACTTGGAATGATCATTTACACCACGTTACAATGAGCATTTCCAAAAGTATTGGAATAATCTCCAAGATTAAGTTTCTTCTACCCCATGCAACCTTATTCCTACTATATAATTCGTTAGTTCTCCCGTATATAACATATTGTAATAGTGTATGGGCAAATTGTGGTTCGACAAAAATTAATTATATTTTTAAACTGCAAAAGAAAGCCATTCGTATTTGTACAGGTAGCATTTCTTAGCTCACACCGATCCTTTATTCTATAAACTTAAAACACTAAAAAAAAATCGATCTGAACACTACTCAAGTAGCAGTTATTATGTTTAAGTACATTAATAATCTGCTTCCACCATCGTTTGATAACATCTTTAGGTTTAACAGTTCTGTTCATTCATACCCTACTCGCATATCTGAAAACTTCCATCTTAAAAATCCCAAATTATCAATAACACACAAATCTGTTAGACATTCTGGCCTGGACATTTGGAATAATTTTCCTGACAACATAAAGTCTTGTTCAACCATTTACTCCTTAAAAACTACACTTAAACGGCAAATAATATAATCATCTGCTCCCCACCCTTTAAATTAGTATAACAAAACCGTGACTTATTTTATTCTTTATCATGCAACTGTTTACTGCACCTACACTTGCACTGCACCCACTTGATCACTCAGTTTTCCAAAGAGAGTTATGTCGCCAATTCTTTTTTATTATGAGGCCGCCATCCATCTCCAGTCTAACCGCTCACGATAGTGGTCTCCTGCGTTCTAAATTACTTCTCTAATTTATTGAAAAAATTTCATATTTCTTATCTTATTTGTATGCTTCGTACATGTTAATCGTATGATATAATTGCACATTATTTTCTATTTATTACTTGTGTAATTTTATTCATTGTTTTTGTTGTTGTTCGAATTTCTGTACTTTGAATTTGAATTTGTATATTTTATAATCAATCAAACAAACAAACAAACAAACAAAAGGTTTACCTAGAGTATATGAGTATCCGTCCAAGAAGAATTTTTCAATAAAGATATCGGAATCTCAAGAATTTTTTTTCTTCTACAGACCATTGGAACAATATTAGTTCGCCTTTACAGTGGACGAATGTACATTAATCTACGAAAGATGGTTCTAAAATATCATATCACTCAGATCTAGCAGTAAACTCCAGCATATTCAGAGTGTCCACAGGATTGGTTACCCCATCCGCCATTTCTGCAATCAGTCAGCATGGATTCATGTCCCGAACAGTCGACATGTCTAAGGTATATCGGGCCAGATAATTGTCCGTATGTACCACCACTCCAGCCTACACCAACGTTGTCTGAGTATCCCAGCTGTCGACAAACTACCCTCGCATCAGAGTCATCCCAACCGTCATCACAGACTGCCCCCCATTGACGTTCATGGAAGATCTCAACCCTGCCTTCACCTGAACTGTGCCAGCGAATCAGACGGATTTCTCCCTCAATTGCATCTTTCAAAATAAATAGAACGAAGGAATAAGACCTCTATACAGTGCGTCCCAGAAAAAACGAAACCGAGAATTATCGATGCCTTATCATAACTTAATCACAATTATAATTAATAAATGACACATATCTGTAGAGCTTAGATCATCCTATTTCATTTCATGCAACTTATATGTTGCATATTTCACGCATGAGGGATTAAAATGAATTTGAAGAGAGGAAACCAAAAAGTCATTTGGCGGACGGAATCTGAATTTCAAAGAGAAAATCACAATTCTTGAAAGTTGAGTTTCTGCCCTTCCATAATCACCTCAGTCAGTCAGTCCATAATTTGATTAAACGAATTCGTTTTCAGTGGTTGCCTGCCGTAGCAACAAACGGAATTAACAAAAGACTTAACTCCGTTTCGTTGACAATCACATTATGCATGGCTGATTGTCAACGAAACGGAGTTAAGTCTTTTGTCAACTTTTGTCCAGTGAAAACGAATTCGTTTGATAAAAGTATGGAAATGCAAGCACTACTTTAAACAAACAGAACTCTGTCATTCCTTGCTCATTTTTCCTGATTGAGGTGTCATAGAAAAGAGCAGAAACTCAACTTTCTAGAAATGTGATTTTCTCTTTGAAATTCAAATACCGTCCGCCAAATGACTTTTTGGTTTCCTCTCTTCAAATTCATTTTTTATCACTCATGCGTGAAATATGCATCATTATGAGTTGCATCAAACGAAAGAGAAGGATTTAAGCTTTCCAAATTATGAGTCATTGATTAATTATAATTGTGACTAGGTTATAAAAAAAACGTCGATAATTCTCGGTTTCGTTTTTTCTGAGACGCACTGTATAGTATGAGACTCTCCCAAAATAGTCACCCTATTTTACCCCTCATTGCCAAAAAAGGTTATAAGCTCGACCATAGTCGTCGGGTTAACCCCGAGAGTGCCCCAAACTAACCCCAAAGCCGGAGCGACTTCATGCCATGTACCTCTTTGCCAGTAGAAAGTAATGAGGCTGAACAATACTAAACATACACACACAAACAAAAAAACGGTATGGGATATCTGATGCCTCCTAAAAACTTGTATCAATTTTTCTTTTTAGATCCAAGGATCACATTTTGACATGAGAAAAGTTGCGACTACATACCAAAAACATTAGAACTGATAAATCAATCACGCTTTGCTTCCCCCAGATTTTCTGGTTAAGTTTAGATAGAGTGTGTGATCAAGTCGAAGAAGGAGTTCCCAAGAAGATACAATGTCGCTCATATAGTTGGAATATTTTTGTTTTACCCCAATTTATGGTATTATTTAAAAAATAATTTAAAAAATAATAGTTCTAGATAATAGTATACATTCTCAGATTTTATTGAATAACGATTTGACAATGTGTGTTTTGCGTGACTGCTTAAATATGTGTATGCTACCATGCTTATCAACTAGGGGACCTACGCCCTTAAGTCATAAATAACAGTAATGAGGATTAATGTCCCACAAAAGGGCACTAATATAGCACATCGACAAGGTTTTGATCCTGGGGCTTCACAGTTACGAGGCCATTGCTTTGTCACTCAACCATGACTGTACGCAGCGGGGGCTTGAGTAGGGGGGGGGGGGGCAGTTTCCATAAATAAAAAAAAACAGAAAATGCAATAAATTTTCAATAATTTATTGCATTTTACCTCGGTCCCCAACATAAAAAAATCATCTGGACGGCCATGCATACTGGCTCAAGGCATGGGCACACAGAGGATTTGTTAATGTTGGGAACCGGGGTAAAATGCAATAAATTATTGAAAATTTATTGCATTTTCTTTTTTTATTTTATTTATGGAAACTGCCCCCTACTCTAGCACCCGCTGCGTACAGTCAGGGTTCAGTGACAAAGCAATGGCCTCGTAACTGTGAAGCTCCAGGATCAAAACCGTGTCGATGTGCTATATTAGTGCCCTTTTGTGGGGCATTAATCCTCATTACTGTCATTTATGACTTAAGGGTGTAGGTCCCCTAGTTGATAATCATAGTAGCATACACATGCTTTAGCAGTCACGTAAAATACACATTGACAAATTTTTATTCAATAAAATCTGAGAATGTATACTATTATCTAGATCTATTATTTTTGAATTATTGTTAAAATAATTCCATAAATTGGGGTAAAACAAAAATATTCCAACTATATGAGCGACAGTGTATTTGGGGCTCTCTGCATCAGTGTTGGAGATATTTACACAAAATATTGGAATAATACATTCGCCTATACATCGGAAAAATGTCCATGTATCTACAAACGGGTGTTCTTTGTATCTACAAGAAATGCGCTGTAAATAAGTATGAGTGTTCGCAACCTACCTCCACAGTAAACTCCAGCACCTTTCGTATAAGAGCAGTCGTGGTCGCCCAATCCGGCATTACTGCAATCAGTCAACCTGGATTCGTTTCCCGAACAGCCGACATTACTAAGGTATACCGGGCCAGATCCTTGTCCGTATGTACCACCACTCCTGGCTACACCAACATTGCCTGAGTATCCAAGTTGTCGACAAACTACCCTCGCTTCAGAGTCGTCCCAACCGTCATCACACACTGTCCCCCATTGTCCTTCATGGAAGATCTCAACCCTGCCTTCATCTGAACTGTACCAGCTGATCAGACGGATTCCTCCCTCAATTTCATCTTTCAAAATAAATAGAACGAAGGGAATAAGACCTCTAGTATGAGACTGTCCCAAAATAGTCACCCCATTTTAACGTAAGGATGTTGCGTTACGATGGTCGCTATATAAAGAGTGACGTGTTTTTCGGGAGCTCCCTTTTTCGCACGGTTAGCTACGTGGCAGAAAGCAAATCATACCGCCCAATGTTGTATTTAAGCACAATTGGATATATATTGGAATCACTCATATATTACATGTGCTAGATGAGCATGGTAAATTTTATTCTCATATGACATTTATTAAAAAATATAAAGTTCAATGTCATTTTCTTGACTACTACTCATTAATCTCCGCACTTCACAATGAATGGAAAATTTATATCCTACAACATCAAGCTGAAACCAAAACACCCTAAGATGAATTATTGCATAACCTAAAGAAGGTTTTCAAAGCATGCAAATATGTTCATCACATTTCTGTTGCAAAGATCCTTAAAGTTCCGATTTCGGAAATAAAATGGGATACAATTTTAACTGCATGAACCTGTTCAAGTCTGGAAGAAACTTTACACTACTCCTTTCAATGTTGCCTTTCTACGTAACTTCGTTATTTTCAGTTCAGAATTGAACATCGAATATTAGGTGTCAACAAATATCTTCACATTACGGGCGTAGCTAAGTCTAATTGATGTATATTTTGCATATCCTCTTTTGAAAGTATTTCACACTTGTTTTGGGCTGTCAATTCATTCAAGACTTCCAAAGCTCTATTCTAGACAATGAAGTACTTTTGAATAAAAAAAAATAGCTTTTTGTTTGGTTTCCCAGATGGTACGCAATCTATCTTTAAGTTTTGTCATTTTATATGCAAAACACTTTATACACTTAAACACTTTTTATGCAAAATACTATATTCTCTGCGAAATGCAAAAGGAACGGCTATCTTTGAATGCTTAAACGTTGTTATGAAGTTGAGCAGATTATTTCTATCAAACGCAATATATTCGTCGTATTACTTGATAAATGGAGACATGTGCAATTGGTGTGGCAATGTTTGTTTTACCGATATATCACAACATGTACTATTGTTTTGTTCTTGCTCAAGAATGATTGAAAACATTTTTTTCTTTGGAAAAAAAAAATCAACCCTCATTGCCATAAAGGTTATAAGCTCGACCGTAGTCGTCGGGTTTGCCCTGAGAGTCTTCCAAACTAACTCCAAAGGCGGTTCAACTTCATGCTATGTTCCTCAATCTCAAATCTTTGCCAGTGGAAAGTAATGAGACTGAACATTACTAAACTCACACAAATATTTAAAAAACGGTATGGGATGTCTGATGTCTCCTTAAAACCTGTATCAATTTTTCTTTTTAGATCCAAGGACCACATTTTGACATGATAAGAGTTGCGACTACATACCAAAAACATAAGAACTGATAAATAAATCACGCTTTGCTTCCCCCAGATGCTCTGGTTTAAGTTTAGAAAGAGTGTGTGATAAATAGTGCGGTATGGTATGTAGTCCCGTAGGATTTTTTTGCCATTTTTTTTTTTTTTTTGTGTGTTGTTGTTGTTGTTGTTGTTGCTGTTTTGGCTTCAAAAGGGTTCCCAATTGGCCAAAAATGATGGGGTTCAAATTTTCCGACCCCTCCTTCATTTCCTAGGGGGTCCATATTGGGCGCCAAAATGGCTTATATAACGCGCAATAGGGAAATTTGGTGTCTTCGGGAAAATTTGAACCCCATTAATTTCTGATAGCAAGGACCCCAATGAATCCAAAAATGCAACAAAACAAAACAAAAAATCAACTTTGGCACAAAAATCTTACGGGAGCTGTTTCAGTGACATACCGTACCTCACTATAAGTCGAAGAAGAAGTTCCCAAGAAGATATTTGGAGCTCTCTGCATCAATGTTGAAGATATTTACACAAAATATTGGAATAATAAGTTCGCGTATATGAGTGCTCGCAACGACCTACCTCCACAGTAAACTCCAGCATCTTTCGTATGAGAGCAGTCGTGGTTGCCCCATCCGCCATTACTGCAATCAGTCAACCTGGTTTCATTTCCCGAACAGTCGACATTACTAAGATACATCGACCCAAATCCTTGTCCGTATGTAGGTGCATCCCTCCAGGCTACACCAACATCGCCTGAGTATCCAAGCTGTCGACAAACTACCCTCGCATCAGAGTCATCCCAACCGTCACCACAGACTGTACCCCATTGACCGTCATGGAAGATCTCAACCCTGCCTTCATCTGAACTGTACCAGCTGATCAGACGGATTCCTCCCTCAACTTCATCTTTCGAAATAAATAGAACGAAGGGAATAAGACCTCTAGTATGAGACTGTCCCAAAATAGTCACCCCATTTTAACGTAAGGATGTTGCGTTACGATGGTCGCTATATAAAGAGTGACGTGTTTTTCGGGAGCTCCCTTTTTCGCACGGTTAGCTACGTGGCAGAAAGCAAATCATACCGCCTAATGTTGTATTTAAGCACAATTGGATATATATTGGAATCACTCATATATTACATGTGCTAGATGAGCATGGTAAATTTTATTCTTATAAGACATTTATTAAAAAATATAAAGTTCAATGTCATTTTCTTGACTACTACTCATTAATCTCCGCACTTCACAATGAATGGAAAATTTATATCCTACAACACCAAGCTGAAACCAAAACACCCTAAGATGAATTATTGCATAACCTAAAGAAGGTTTTCAAAGCATGCAAATATGTTCATCACATTTCTGTTGCAAAGATCCTTAAAGTTCCGATTTCGGAAATAAAATGGGATACAATTTTAACTGCATGAACCTGTTCAAGTCTGGAAGAAACTTTACACTACTCCTTTCAATGTTGCCTTTCTACGTAACTTCGTTATTTTCAGTTCAGAATTGAACATCGAATATTAGGTGTCAACAAATATCTTCACATTACGGGCGTAGCTAATTCTAATTGATGTATATTTTGCATATCCTCTTTTGAAAGTATTTCACACTTGTTTTGGGCTGTCAATTCATTCAAGACTTCCAAAGCTCTATTCTAGACAATGAAGTACTTTTGAATAAAAAAAAATTGCTTTTTGTTTGGTTTCCCAGATGGTACGCAATCTATCTTTAAGTTTTGTCATTTTATATGCAAAACACTTTATACACTTAAACACTTTTTATGCAAAATACTATATTCTCTGCGAAATGCAAAAGGAACGGCTATCTTTGAATGCTTAAACGTTGTTATGAAGTTGAGCAGATTATTTCTATCAAACGCAATATATTCGTCGTATTACTTGATAAATGGAGACATGTGCAATTGATGTGGCAATGTTTGTTTTACCGATATATCACAACATGTACTATTGTTTTGTTCTTGCTCAAGAATGATTGAAAACATTTTTTTCTTTGGAAAAAAAAATCAACCCTCATTGCCATAAAGGTTATAAGCTCGACCGTAGTCGTCGGGTTTGCCCTGAGAGTCTTCCAAACTAACTCCAAAGGCGGTTCAACTTCATGCTATGTTCCTCAATCTCAAATCTTTGCCAGTAGAAAGTAATGAGACTGAACATTACTAAACTCACACAAATATTTAAAAAACGGTATGGGATGTCTGATGTCTCCTTAAAACCTGTATCAATTTTTCTTTTTAGATCCAAGGACCACATTTTGACATGATAAGAGTTGCGACTACATACCAAAAACATAAGAACTGATAAATAAATCACGCTTTGCTTCCCCCAGATGCTCTGGTTTAAGTTTAGAAAGAGTGTGTGATAAATAGTGCGGTATGGTATGTAGTCCCGTAGGATTTTTTTGCCATTTTTTTTTTTTTTTGTGTGTTGTTGTTGTTGTTGTTGTTGCTGTTTTGGCTTCAAAAGGGTTCCCAATTGGCCAAAAATGATGGGGTTCAAATTTTCCGACCCCTCCTTCATTTCCTAGGGGGTCCATATTGGGCGCCAAAATGGCTTATATAACGCGCAATAGGGAAATTTGGTGTCTTCGGGAAAATTTGAACCCCATTAATTTCTGATAGCAAGGACCCCAATGAATCCAAAAATGCAACAAAACAAAACAAAAAATCAACTTTGGCACAAAAATCTTACGGGAGCTGTTTCAGTGACATACCGTACCTCACTATAAGTCGAAGAAGAAGTTCCCAAGAAGATATTTGGAGCTCTCTGCATCAATGTTGAAGATATTTACACAAAATATTGGAATAATAAGTTCGCGTATATGAGTGCTCGCAACGACCTACCTCCACAGTAAACTCCAGCATCTTTCGTATGAGAGCAGTCGTGGTTGCCCCATCCGCCATTACTGCAATCAGTCAACCTGGTTTCATTTCCCGAACAGTCGACATTACTAAGATACATCGACCCAAATCCTTGTCCGTATGTAGGTGCATCCCTCCAGGCTACACCAACATCGCCTGAGTATCCAAGCTGTCGACAAACTACCCTCGCATCAGAGTCATCCCAACCGTCACCACAGACTGTACCCCATTGACCGTCATGGAAGATCTCAACACTGCCTTCATCTGAACTGTACCAGCTGATCAGACGGATTCCTCCCTCAACTTCATCTTTCGAAATAAATAGAACGAAGGGAATAAGACCTCTAGTATTAGACTGTCCCAAAATAGTCACCCCATTTTAACGTAAGGATGTTGCGTTACGATGGTCGCTATATAAAGAGTGACGTGTTTTTCGGGAGCTCCCTTTTTCGCACGGTTAGCTACGTGGCAGAAAGCAAATCATACCGCCTAATGTTGTATTTAAGCACAATTGGATATATATTGGAATCACTCATATATTACATGTGCTAGATGAGCATGGTAAATTTTATTCTCATAAGACATTTATTAAAAAATATAAAGTTCAATGTCATTTTCTTGACTACTACTCATTAATCTCCGCACTTCACAATGAATGGAAAATTTATATCCTACAACACCAAGCTGAAACCAAAACACCCTAAGATGAATTATTGCATAACCTAAAGAAGGTTTTCAAAGCATGCAAATATGTTCATCACATTTCTGTTGCAAAGATCCTTAAAGTTCCGATTTCGGAAATAAAATGGGATACAATTTTAACTGCATGAACCTGTTCAAGTCTGGAAGAAACTTTACACTACTCCTTTCAATGTTGCCTTTCTACGTAACTTCGTTATTTTCAGTTCAGAATTGAACATCGAATATTAGGTGTCAACAAATATCTTCACATTACGGGCGTAGCTAAGTCTAATTGATGTATATTTTGCATATCCTCTTTTGAAAGTATTTCACACTTGTTTTGGGCTGTCAATTCATTCAAGACTTCCAAAGCTCTATTCTAGACAATGAAGTACTTTTGAATAAAAAAAAAATTGCTTTTTGTTTGGTTTCCCAGATGGTACGCAATCTATCTTTAAGTTTTGTCATTTTATATGCAAAACACTTTATACACTTAAACACTTTGTATGCAAAATACTATATTCTCTGCGAAATGCAAAAGGAACGGCTATCTTTGAATGCTTAAACTTTGTTATGAAGTTGAGCAGATTATTTCTATCAAACGCAATATATTCGTCGTATTACTTGATAAATGGAGACATGTGCAATTGATGTGGCAATGTTTGTTTTACCGATATATCACAACATGTACTATTGTTTTGTTCTTGCTCAAGAATGATTGAAAACATTTTTTTCTTTGGAAAAAAAAAATCAACCCTCATTGCCATAAAGGTTATAAGCTCGACCGTAGTCGTCGGGTTTGCCCTGAGAGTCTTCCAAACTAACTCCAAAGGCGGTTCAACTTCATGCTATGTTCCTCAATCTCAAATCTTTGCCAGTAGAAAGTAATGAGACTGAACATTACTAAACTCACACAAATATTTAAAAAACGGTATGGGATGTCTGATGTCTCCTTAAAACCTGTATCAATTTTTCTTTTTAGATCCAAGGACCACATTTTGACATGATAAGAGTTGCGACTACATACCAAAAACATAAGAACTGATAAATAAATCACGCTTTGCTTCCCCCAGATGCTCTGGTTTAAGTTTAGAAAGAGTGTGTGATAAATAGTGCGGTATGGTATGTAGTCCCGTAGGATTTTTTTGCCATTTTTTTTTTTTTTTTGTGTGTTGTTGTTGTTGTTGTTGTTGCTGTTTTGGCTTCAAAAGGGTTCCCAATTGGCCAAAAATGATGGGGTTCAAATTTTCCGACCCCTCCTTCATTTCCTAGGGGGTCCATATTGGGCGCCAAAATGGCTTATATAACGCGCAATAGGGAAATTTGGTGTCTTCGGGAAAATTTGAACCCCATTAATTTCTGATAGCAAGGACCCCAATGAATCCAAAAATGCAACAAAACAAAACAAAAAATCAACTTTGGCACAAAAATCTTACGGGAGCTGTTTCAGTGACATACCGTACCTCACTATAAGTCGAAGAAGAAGTTCCCAAGAAGATATTTGGAGCTCTCTGCATCAATGTTGAAGATATTTACACAAAATATTGGAATAATAAGTTCGCGTATATGAGTGCTCGCAACGACCTACCTCCACAGTAAACTCCAGCATCTTTCGTATGAGAGCAGTCGTGGTTGCCCCATCCGCCATTACTGCAATCAGTCAACCTGGTTTCATTTCCCGAACAGTCGACATTACTAAGATACATCGACCCAAATCCTTGTCCGTATGTAGGTGCATCCCTCCAGGCTACACCAACATCGCCTGAGTATCCAAGCTGTCGACAAACTACCCTCGCATCAGAGTCATCCCAACCGTCACCACAGACTGTACCCCATTGACCGTCATGGAAGATCTCAACCCTGCCTTCATCTGAACTGTACCAGCTGATCAGACGGATTCCTCCCTCAACTTCATCTTTCGAAATAAATAGAACGAAGGGAATAAGACCTCTAGTATGAGACTGTCCCAAAATAGTCACCCCATTTTAACGTAAGGATGTTGCGTTACGATGGTCGCTATATAAAGAGTGACGTGTTTTTCGGGAGCTCCCTTTTTCGCACGGTTAGCTACGTGGCAGAAAGCAAATCATACCGCCTAATGTTGTATTTAAGCACAATTGGATATATATTGGAATCACTCATATATTACATGTGCTAGATGAGCATGGTAAATTTTATTCTTATAAGACATTTATTAAAAAATATAAAGTTCAATGTCATTTTCTTGACTACTACTCATTAATCTCCGCACTTCACAATGAATGGAAAATTTATATCCTACAACACCAAGCTGAAACCAAAACACCCTAAGATGAATTATTGCATAACCTAAAGAAGGTTTTCAAAGCATGCAAATATGTTCATCACATTTCTGTTGCAAAGATCCTTAAAGTTCCGATTTCGGAAATAAAATGGGATACAATTTTAACTGCATGAACCTGTTCAAGTCTGGAAGAAACTTTACACTACTCCTTTCAATGTTGCCTTTCTACGTAACTTCGTTATTTTCAGTTCAGAATTGAACATCGAATATTAGGTGTCAACAAATATCTTCACATTACGGGCGTAGCTAAGTCTAATTGATGTATATTTTGCATATCCTCTTTTGAAAGTATTTCACACTTGTTTTGGGCTGTCAATTCATTCAAGACTTCCAAAGCTCTATTCTAGACAATGAAGTACTTTTGAATAAAAAAAAATTGCTTTTTGTTTGGTTTCCCAGATGGTACGCAATCTATCTTTAAGTTTTGTCATTTTATATGCAAAACACTTTATACACTTAAACACTTTGTATGCAAAATACTATATTCTCTGCGAAATGCAAAAGGAACGGCTATCTTTGAATGCTTAAACGTTGTTATGAAGTTGAGCAGATTATTTCTATCAAACGCAATATATTCGTCGTATTACTTGATAAATGGAGACATGTGCAATTGATGTGGCAATGTTTGTTTTACCGATATATCACAACATGTACTATTGTTTTGTTCTTGCTCAAGAATGATTGAAAACATTTTTTTCTTTGGAAAAAAAAAATCAACCCTCATTGCCATAAAGGTTATAAGCTCGACCGTAGTCGTCGGGTTTGCCCTGAGAGTCTTCCAAACTAACTCCAAAGGCGGTTCAACTTCATGCTATGTTCCTCAATCTCAAATCTTTGCCAGTAGAAAGTAATGAGACTGAACATTACTAAACTCACACAAATATTTAAAAAACGGTATGGGATGTCTGATGTCTCCTTAAAAACCTGTATCAATTTTTCTTTTTAGATCCAAGGACCACATTTTGACATGATAAGAGTTGCGACTACATACCAAAAACATAAGAACTGATAAATAAATCACGCTTTGCTTCCCCCAGATGCTCTGGTTTAAGTTTAGAAAGAGTGTGTGATAAATAGTGCGGTATGGTATGTAGTCCCGTAGGATTTTTTTGCCATTTTTTTTTTTTTTGTGTGTTGTTGTTGTTGTTGTTGTTGCTGTTTTGGCTTCAAAAGGGTTCCCAATTGGCCAAAAATGATGGGGTTCAAATTTTCCGACCCCTCCTTCATTTCCTAGGGGGTCCATATTGGGCGCCAAAATGGCTTATATAACGCGCAATAGGGAAATTTGGTGTCTTCGGGAAAATTTGAACCCCATTAATTTCTGATAGCAAGGACCCCAATGAATCCAAAAATGCAACAAAACAAAACAAAAAATCAACTTTGGCACAAAAATCTTACGGGAGCTGTTTCAGTGACATACCGTACCTCACTATAAGTCGAAGAAGAAGTTCCCAAGAAGATATTTGGAGCTCTCTGCATCAATGTTGAAGATATTTACACAAAATATTGGAATAATAAGTTCGCGTATATGAGTGCTCGCAACGACCTACCTCCACAGTAAACTCCAGCATCTTTCGTATGAGAGCAGTCGTGGTTGCCCCATCCGCCATTACTGCAATCAGTCAACCTGGTTTCATTTCCCGAACAGTCGACATTACTAAGATACATCGACCCAAATCCTTGTCCGTATGTAGGTGCATCCCTCCAGGCTACACCAACATCGCCTGAGTATCCAAGCTGTCGACAAACTACCCTCGCATCAGAGTCATCCCAACCGTCACCACAGACTGTACCCCATTGACCGTCATGGAAGATCTCAACCCTGCCTTCATCTGAACTGTACCAGCTGATCAGACGGATTCCTCCCTCAACTTCATCTTTCGAAATAAATAGAACGAAGGGAATAAGACCTCTAGTATGAGACTGTCCCAAAATAGTCACCCCATTTTAACGTAAGGATGTTGCGTTACGATGGTCGCTATATAAAGAGTGACGTGTTTTTCGGGAGCTCCCTTTTTCGCACGGTTAGCTACGTGGCAGAAAGCAAATCATACCGCCTAATGTTGTATTTAAGCACAATTGGATATATATTGGAATCACTCATATATTACATGTGCTAGATGAGCATGGTAAATTTTATTCTTATAAGACATTTATTAAAAAATATAAAGTTCAATGTCATTTTCTTGACTACTACTCATTAATCTCCGCACTTCACAATGAATGGAAAATTTATATCCTACAACATCAAGCTGAAACCAAAACACCCTAAGATGAATTATTGCATAACCTAAAGAAGGTTTTCAAAGCATGCAAATATGTTCATCACATTTCTGTTGCAAAGATCCTTAAAGTTCCGATTTCGGAAATAAAATGGGATACAATTTTAACTGCATGAACCTGTTCAAGTCTGGAAGAAACTTTACACTACTCCTTTCAATGTTGCCTTTCTACGTAACTTCGTTATTTTCAGTTCAGAATTGAACATCGAATATTAGGTGTCAACAAATATCTTCACATTACGGGCGTAGCTAAGTCTAATTGATGTATATTTTGCATATCCTCTTTTGAAAGTATTTCACACTTGTTTTGGGCTGTCAATTCATTCAAGACTTCCAAAGCTCTATTCTAGACAATGAAGTACTTTTGAATAAAAAAAAAATTGCTTTTTGTTTGGTTTCCCAGATGGTACGCAATCTATCTTTAAGTTTTGTCATTTTATATGCAAAACACTTTATACACTTAAACACTTTTTATGCAAAATACTATATTCTCTGCGAAATGCAAAAGGAACGGCTATCTTTGAATGCTTAAACGTTGTTATGAAGTTGAGCAGATTATTTCTATCAAACGCAATATATTCGTCGTATTACTTGATAAATGGAGACATGTGCAATTGATGTGGCAATGTTTGTTTTACCGATATATCACAACATGTACTATTGTTTTGTTCTTGCTCAAGAATGATTGAAAACATTTTTTTCTTTGGAAAAAAAAAATCAACCCTCATTGCCATAAAGGTTATAAGCTCGACCGTAGTCGTCGGGTTTGCCCTGAGAGTCTTCCAAACTAACTCCAAAGGCGGTTCAACTTCATGCTATGTTCCTCAATCTCAAATCTTTGCCAGTAGAAAGTAATGAGACTGAACATTACTAAACTCACACAAATATTTAAAAAACGGTATGGGATGTCTGATGTCTCCTTAAAACCTGTATCAATTTTTCTTTTTAGATCCAAGGACCACATTTTGACATGATAAGAGTTGCGACTACATACCAAAAACATAAGAACTGATAAATAAATCACGCTTTGCTTCCCCCAGATGCTCTGGTTTAAGTTTAGAAAGAGTGTGTGATAAATAGTGCGGTATGGTATGTAGTCCCGTAGGATTTTTTTGCCATTTTTTTTTTTTTGTTGTGTTGTTGTTGTTGTTGTTGTTGCTGTTTTGGCTTCAAAAGGGTTCCCAATTGGCCAAAAATGATGGGGTTCAAATTTTCCGACCCCTCCTTCATTTCCTAGGGGGTCCATATTGGGCGCCAAAATGGCTTATATAACGCGCAATAGGGAAATTTGGTGTCTTCGGGAAAATTTGAACCCCATTAATTTCTGATAGCAAGGACCCCAATGAATCCAAAAATGCAACAAAACAAAACAAAAAATCAACTTTGGCACAAAAATCTTACGGGAGCTGTTTCAGTGACATACCGTACCTCACTATAAGTCGAAGAAGAAGTTCCCAAGAAGATATTTGGAGCTCTCTGCATCAATGTTGAAGATATTTACACAAAATATTGGAATAATAAGTTCGCGTATATGAGTGCTCGCAACGACCTACCTCCACAGTAAACTCCAGCATCTTTCGTATGAGAGCAGTCGTGGTTGCCCCATCCGCCATTACTGCAATCAGTCAACCTGGTTTCATTTCCCGAACAGTCGACATTACTAAGATACATCGACCCAAATCCTTGTCCGTATGTAGGTGCATCCCTCCAGGCTACACCAACATCGCCTGAGTATCCAAGCTGTCGACAAACTACCCTCGCATCAGAGTCATCCCAACCGTCACCACAGACTGTACCCCATTGACCGTCATGGACGATCTCAACACTGCCTTCATCTGAACTGTACCAGCTGATCAGACGGATTCCTCCCTCAACTTCATCTTTCGAAATAAATAGAACGAAGGGAATAAGACCTCTAGTATTAGACTGTCCCAAAATAGTCACCCCATTTTAACGTAAGGATGTTGCGTTACGATGGTCGCTATATAAAGAGTGACGTGTTTTTCGGGAGCTCCCTTTTTCGCACGGTTAGCTACGTGGCAGAAAGCAAATCATACCGCCTAATGTTGTATTTAAGCACAATTGGATATATATTGGAATCACTCATATATTACATGTGCTAGATGAGCATGGTAAATTTTATTCTCATAAGACATTTATTAAAAAATATAAAGTTCAATGTCATTTTCTTGACTACTACTCATTAATCTCCGCACTTCACAATGAATGGAAAATTTATATCCTACAACACCAAGCTGAAACCAAAACACCCTAAGATGAATTATTGCATAACCTAAAGAAGGTTTTCAAAGCATGCAAATATGTTCATCACATTTCTGTTGCAAAGATCCTTAAAGTTCCGATTTCGGAAATAAAATGGGATACAATTTTAACTGCATGAACCTGTTCAAGTCTGGAAGAAACTTTACACTACTCCTTTCAATGTTGCCTTTCTACGTAACTTCGTTATTTTCAGTTCAGAATTGAACATCGAATATTAGGTGTCAACAAATATCTTCACATTACGGGCGTAGCTAAGTCTAATTGATGTATATTTTGCATATCCTCTTTTGAAAGTATTTCACACTTGTTTTGGGCTGTCAATTCATTCAAGACTTCCAAAGCTCTATTCTAGACAATGAAGTACTTTTGAATAAAAAAAAAATTGCTTTTTGTTTGGTTTCCCAGATGGTACGCAATCTATCTTTAAGTTTTGTCATTTTATATGCAAAACACTTTATACACTTAAACACTTTTTATGCAAAATACTATATTCTCTGCGAAATGCAAAAGGAACGGCTATCTTTGAATGCTTAAACGTTGTTATGAAGTTGAGCAGATTATTTCTATCAAACGCAATATATTCGTCGTATTACTTGATAAATGGAGACATGTGCAATTGATGTGGCAATGTTTGTTTTACCGATATATCACAACATGTACTATTGTTTTGTTCTTGCTCAAGAATGATTGAAAACATTTTTTTCTTTGGAAAAAAAAAATCAACCCTCATTGCCATAAAGGTTATAAGCTCGACCGTAGTCGTCGGGTTTGCCCTGAGAGTCTTCCAAACTAACTCCAAAGGCGGTTCAACTTCATGCTATGTTCCTCAATCTCAAATCTTTGCCAGTAGAAAGTAATGAGACTGAACATTACTAAACTCACACAAATATTTAAAAAACGGTATGGGATGTCTGATGTCTCCTTAAAACCTGTATCAATTTTTCTTTTTAGATCCAAGGACCACATTTTGACATGATAAGAGTTGCGACTACATACCAAAAACATAAGAACTGATAAATAAATCACGCTTTGCTTCCCCCAGATGCTCTGGTTTAAGTTTAGAAAGAGTGTGTGATAAATAGTGCGGTATGGTATGTAGTCCCGTAGGATTTTTTTGCCATTTTTTTTTGTTTTTTGTGTTGTTGTTGTTGTTGTTGTTGCTGTTTTGGCTTCAAAAGGGTTCCCAATTGGCCAAAAATGATGGGGTTCAAATTTTCCGACCCCTCCTTCATTTCCTAGGGGGTCCATATTGGGCGCCAAAATGGCTTATATAACGCGCAATAGGGAAATTTGGTGTCTTCGGGAAAATTTGAACCCCATTAATTTCTGATAGCAAGGACCCCAATGAATCCAAAAATGCAACAAAACAAAACAAAAAATCAACTTTGGCACAAAAATCTTACGGGAGCTGTTTCAGTGACATACCGTACCTCACTATAAGTCGAAGAAGAAGTTCCCAAGAAGATATTTGGAGCTCTCTGCATCAATGTTGAAGATATTTACACAAAATATTGGAATAATAAGTTCGCGTATATGAGTGCTCGCAACGACCTACCTCCACAGTAAACTCCAGCATCTTTCGTATGAGAGCAGTCGTGGTTGCCCCATCCGCCATTACTGCAATCAGTCAACCTGGTTTCATTTCCCGAACAGTCGACATTACTAAGATACATCGACCCAAATCCTTGTCCGTATGTAGGTGCATCCCTCCAGGCTACACCAACATCGCCTGAGTATCCAAGCTGTCGACAAACTACCCTCGCATCAGAGTCATCCCAACCGTCACCACAGACTGTACCCCATTGACCGTCATGGAAGATCTCAACCCTGCCTTCATCTGAACTGTACCAGCTGATCAGACGGATTCCTCCCTCAAATTCATCTTTCGAAATAAATAAAATGAAGGAATCAACCCTCTAGTATGAGACTGTCACTCCATAGTTACTCCATTTTACTGTAAGATTTGACCCCTCACTGCCAAAAAGGTTATAAGCTCGACCGTAGTCGTCGGGTTAGTCCCGAGATGTCCCAAAAACTTACCCCCTAACTAACCCCATGTACCAGTGGCGGATCCAGGGGGGGGGGGGGGGACGTGTAAAAACACGTTATTTTTACCTTTTTTTTAGATGGCCCCCCTCCCTGGCGCTCAAGGGGGGGGGGGGGTACGAATTTTCTAATTGTCGAGAGCCCCCCCTCCCCCCCAAAAAAAAGTGCTCACTAACTCGCCCCCCCCCCCCTGAGCAAATTATCGGTCGGCTCGATTTTTAAATTTAGATGCCCTCATGAGAAAAATTGCGACTTTATTAAAAAAACACAAGAACTGATAAATAAATCACGCTTCCCTTCCCCCAAATGCTCTGGTTTAAGTTTAAATAGAGTGTGTGGTTAATGCCTAGATCACATTTGCCGCGGCGGCCGTGCGGTCTAAAATATCTACGGCCAATAGCAATTACAGGGCTGCCGCACAATTCCCACGGTCACATACGGTAGCGGTCACATAATATGTTAGGGTAGCCGCACGGCTTTTTTTGAATTTGTGGAGACAGAAAATATGCGGCTGCCATACGGCCGTTGAAGTGATGACGCACGGTCACCTTAGGGCGTCCCTGCGGCGGCCGTAGGTTTTGACAAATACTAAGACAGCCGCAAGGTAGCCGCAAGGTGCCCGCAAGGCGGCCGAAGGGGGACCATACGGCGATCGTGTGGCAAGGCTCTTGCTACCGCTTCACCCCTGGAGTAAATAAAAACGCAAGGGTACCTTACGCCCGACGTAAGGTCGCCGTGGAACCGCTCTACGGCATGGCTACGGCGTGTCTAATCGCTATGGCGAACCTTTTAAATGAAAACAGTTATAACTCCGCGTTATAATCCCACGGCGACCCGTACGGCCTGTAAAGATGGGATACGCCCTAGGGTGACCCTGAGGCTACCGCACATTATCTGCGGCCGCCGCAAGTATCTCTCGATTTCGGGGGTGTACGACCGCCGTATCCTAGCCGTAGAGCAAATGACCTAGGCATAAGTCGAAGAAGTTCCCATGAAGATATTTGGAGCTCTCTGCATCAGTGTTGACCTTCATTGACCCACCCCCTCCCCCCCCCCCCATTGACCTGCTTTCATTTGAAGTGTATCCGCGAATTCTCCCTAACCGGATTTCTCCCTCAATTTCATTTTTCAAAATAAATAAAACAAAGGATTAAAACAGATATAGCATGAGAAAAAATTCACCCTATTTAACTGTAAGCTTTGACCCCTCATTCCAAAAAAGGTTGATGTCCGTATAATGGGGCTTTCACATATACTCCGAGGTCCGTACGGCGAGTAAAAACAGACATTTTGAGAATTTTCGTCCAATGACCGGCCGGCTTCCGTACAGTTCCTACGGGTGCCGGGATATTTTCACCAGCCTTAAGTCCCGGTCACACAGAGGGGACGCATGGGGAACGCACGGCCATCGCATTGGAAATTTGCAATTTTGGCCAGTGCGTTGTCGTTCGCTAGGCGTGCGTCATCATTCGTTACTCGTTCGTCGAGCGCGCTGGACCCACGCTATGCATTCGTCGTCATTCGCTGTGTGCGTCCGGATTGTTTGAGCATGCTCAAAAGTGTGCGCGGAGCTCGACGCATGAATGTACACGCCAAAGGCACGCCAGACATGCATGGAGCGCGCTAGACCAGCGCCAGACATACGCGGAGCACACGCCCTGTATACGCACAGCGCGCTAGCTACACGCTGTGTATTTTGTGTCAGCTCGCTAGCTTTTCCGAAATCATGACAAAAGTTAGGCACACGGCCTTTTCCGATTTCCAATGGGCGGGCCGTGCGTCGTCTATTACCGTGTTTACACAGTGATCCGCATCGAGGGTTTAAGCCGGGTTGAAGCCGCGAGGGGATTGAAGCCGGGTTGAAGCCGCCTCTTGAATCCACCAGAATTGCAGGTCTCAACCCACCTCGCGGCTTCAACCCTGCAATTTTATGTCGTGTAAACGGGATCTGATCCGCCTCGAGGGTTGAAGCCATGTGGGCTGACGTGAGCAGCCAATGAAAATGGTAGTACTGATATGCGCGCATAGCTTTCCTTTAAGCGCAACCTTAAAAGTATAAATAGGCCGCGCGTATCTTATCTTATCTTATCTTCTTTTTTTGTCTTATATCAATTTATTAAATTGATATCAAGAATATTTTCAGTAATTCATTAATTCAGATATCAATTTACTGGTGCCAGTAAATTTCTTTTTCAATTGCTTCCATTAATTTCGTCATTAATTATCGTTTTAATTAATATTATCGTTTTGTTTTTTATTATAATTATTATTATCATCATCAATATTGTTATTATCATTATCATCATAATTTTTCTCACTATTGTCGATAGTGTTATTTTGTATGGATTAACATTAATTCTATTTGTATTGTATATTTCACAGTGTTTAATTGACAAATTCAAACTGATTGTAAACTTCTCCAATACCCCAATGTGGGTGACATGAGAATAAATTGTCATTGTCATTGTCATTGTCACTGGACCCCCAGCTGAAGCTGATGTAGGTCAAATTCCCCGCATTGTGACGTCATTGGGATCCGTCTCGAGGGTTGAAGCCGCCTTTTTTTCCTGCTGTGTAAACACGATCACATTTGCGCGCTTTAGAGGCTTCAACCCCCTCGAGGCGGATCACTGTGTAAACACGGTATATGTGTGACCACCTCTGTTGAGAACGCGGTGCATGTGTGGACCATTCGTCCAGCGCGCTAGCAACACGCTGTACATTCGTGGAAGTTGTTATCATGTGCGCTCTGTGTACGGTCTGTATGCGCACTGTATGCGCCCTGTATGCGCTCAGCGCGCTAGCAACACTATGCATTTCGTGTCAGCTCGCTGTAGCTTCGACAAAAGTTGGGCGCACGACAACGCATTGGCCAAAATTGCAAATTTCCAATGCGCTGGCCGTGCGTTCCCCATGCGTCCCCTCTGTGTGACCGGGCCTTTACAGGCGCCGTGGTGCTTACCGGCCGGCACCCTTACGGGCGCTTTGCATTTTAACTCGACCAATTTTTACCGGGCACCTCCCCGGCGCCGCAGAATATGTGACCACACATGCTGTCGAAATGAAAATGTGAAGGGTCTCGTACAGTCTCTATAATCCACAGCTTGCCGCCGGGTAGGGAAAATCGTACCGGGCCCGGTGTATGTTTGGTATGGTATGGTATGGTATTTATTTAATTCTTCATGAAAAAAACATTATACAATACATACAGAGTATAAACAAAAAATGAAATTTGAAATTTGAAACACATAAATACGTGTAGGAGGGTAACATTACAGATAATAAGAATACAATAACGTGACCTATAGGCATTAGAGAGAAGAGAGAAAGAGAGGGAGAGAGAGAGAGAGAGAGAGAGAGGAGAGAGAGAGAGAGAGAGAGAGAGAGAGAGAGGGAAGAGAGATAGTGTAAATGAAGTTTCCTTACGAGTAGTTGTGGTAGGATGTGAGGTGGTTGATTCCATCGTGAACATCGTTGTGGTGTCTTGTGTCGTAGTCGATTCTGGAGAATAAATATGGTATAAACACCAGATGATACTATCTGAGGGCAAAATACATTTATTTCTTATTTACCAAACTTTAGCAATTCTAACTGGACAAATCACCACATACTATTGAAGTCCTAGCTTTTAGCGTCTGAGCGGCTGCAGAAAGGAAGATGTTGATTCACGTTGTAGCAAAGTAAAAGTGAAATAGAGAGAGAGAGAGAGAGAGAGAGATGGAGAGACGGCGAGATGAAATTGGAGAGAGAGAGAGAGAGAGAGAGAGAAGGGAAGTGAGAGAGAGAGAGAAAGGGTTAATGAAAACATTGACAAAATTTTAGACTGAAGGGTAAGCAAAGTGAAAGAGAGACGAAAAGAGAAAATATTGAGATGGTGTAAATGAAGTTTTCTTACGAGTAGTTGTGGTAGGATGTGAGGTGGTGGATTCCGTGGTGGACATCGTTGTGGAGTCTTGTGTAGTAGTTGATTCTGAAAAAGAAATATGATATAAATACCTGATGATACTATCTGGGGGCAAAATACGTTTATTTTCATTTTTGCCAAACGTTAACAAATCTAACTGTACAAATCATCACATGATATTCAGTTCCTAGCTTGTGACGCCTGAGTAGAGTGGCTGCCGAGAACAATATGATGCTACACTTTGTAGCAAAGTGAAATTATAATAGAGAAAGAGAGAGAGAGAAGGGACAGACAGCAAGATAAAATTGGAGAGAGAGAAGGGAAGTAAGAAAACATTTAAAATAGAAATCGAGAGAGAAAGAAAAGGCGAAGAGAGATAGATAGATATAGAGATAGATATATAGAGAGAAAGAGAGAGAGAGAGAGAGAGAGAGAGAGAGAGAGAGTGAGAGTCTGAGAGAGAGAGAGAGAGAGAGAGAGAGAGAGAGTGAGAGTCTGAGAGAATGAGGGTTAATGACTAAAATGAGAAAATTATAAACGGAAAAGTTGAGCATGGTGAAAGAGAGAGAGAGAGAAAATAGAGAAGAGAGAGAGAGAAAGAGAGAGAGAGAGAGACAGAGAGAGTGTGTGTGAGAGAGAGGGTTAATGACTAAAATTAGAAAATTGTAAACGGAAAGTTTGAGCATGGTAAGAGAGAGAGAAAAAAAATAAAAGAGAGAAGAGAGACAGAGAGAGAGAATGAGCGTTAATGACTTAAATAAGAAAATTGTACATGTAAAGGGTGAGTATGGTGAGAGAGAGAGAAAAAAGAGAGAGAGAGAAAAGAGAGAAGAGAAGAGACACAGAGAGAGTGAGAGAGAGAGAGAGAGTAAGAGAGAAAGAGTGTGTGTGTGTGTGTGAGAGTCTGATAGAGTGAGGGTTAATGACTAAAATGAGAAAATTGTAAACGGAAAGGTTGAGCATGGTGTGAGAGAGAGAGAGAGAGAAAATAAATAAAAGAGGGAAGAGAGAGAGAGAGAGAGAGAGATAAAGAGATGGTGTAAAATGAAGTTTTCTTACGAGTAGTTGTGGTAGGATGTGAGGT